AGAAGAAAAAATAAACAAACAAAATTTAGGAATGAGCAAAAGATCCGCATATTTAATTAAATTTCCACAACCGCAGTCCCAATTACGCGCATTAATAATTAATGCCTATGTACGTACATACATCGTTGCGACTGATATATGCTGATAAATACGTGTACACAACCTCACTACCGTGCTATCTAACAGAGCGAGCGAGATTGACAGCGAAAGTGAATGTGAAAATATGCGTTAGTTAGGTGATACCAAGACTCTGACTTAATGGCCGCTATGACTTCTATCCTAATCGGCATTAAAGGCGAAAACCAGTTTTTTCAATTGATTTCTAATAACAGCTCATTAATGATACCTTATACGTATAAGTGTATTCCAACTTTAAATTTGACGGACAACACTAAAAAAATAACCGATACACGACTGGCTCAGTGTTTGCAGAGATAATTTTTCTATTTTTTAAAATAAATTTTATTTAAAATTTCTAGTCACCGCATGAAAAAGAGCAGCCCAAAATTAGTTTGTGTTAGCTTATAAATTAAATATGTTTGTCTGTCTCCTTTCTTCTCTCTCTCTCCATCTTACATGCGCACAACGGTGCACCGCAATTACTCTATCTATACATATAACATAGCCTCTCTCCATAGTATATAATCTATACCTTGTGACCATCGGTCACTCCTACCAAAAAAATAGTAAAGTTTTTTTATCAATTTCGACTATTAAAAATATAAAATTATTATTTAGTGTTTAAAGCTGCCGCCGATAAGTAGGATATGCAAATATAGCGATAGTGTGCGTCATGAAGTGCAGGAGTAGAGGGAAAGAAACAACAACATTCTACCAATGATAAGAGTCCGAAAATTTCCTCCTCGCGAGGCAATTTCCGAGCCGCCGAAAAACCGAGGTTTGTTGTACGATCAAGACACAGCCACATCAGATTCTAGCTGTAGATTCTCTGCCTAGCAGGTCAAAGTACCTTGCTTCTCGGGCTTCTAGACTGATCTCACAACACTGGCCTATAGCAACGTGCTTGGTGAGGCATTCTGTCTGAGCCTTTCGCGTACACATTACGCCAGCTATTTTTTATATTCTTTTTATTCATTAATTATTATTTCGTTCGACGATATACTGTCGGTCGGGCCCCCCTCCTGATCGTCTCGGCGCTTCGTTACGCCGCTGCCGCTGGCATCGACGGCCTGTGCTGGGACCAGTTCAGTTCGTCTCCGGATACACAGGTTCACGCATCAGCTGGCCAGCTACACGCCTCTGCCAGCCAAGTCACACCATCAGCAGCCAGCAGGCCGCTCGAGACGGCTAGTCCACCAACAATCTCAGCAGAGCATAGTACTCAGAAAGCACGCTATTCATTGTCGCCGGGTCCGCTTCCCTTGTACTTAACAAATAAAGAGTTTCTCAAACATTGGTCCTTCGAGCCGGATTCAGCAACAAGGAGAGGAAAGCCGGCACAATCTAAGTACGCATTAAGTCCTGCGTCTTGTGTTAATGCGCGTGTCTTGCACGTCCACGCGCGTTAATTAATGTAGCCGGAGGTCATGGCCGCCACGCTGCCCATGATACGGATTGCGTGGCGGCCGTGGTTCTCGTTCGTCAGCCACCGCGGCCACCATATCGCAGGTGTCGCTGACTGAAGCTCGCTCGCTCTGGACCGCCACGGCCGCCATGATGCCCGTGTCGCGGATTTGAGGTTTGACTGCTCGCCGTGCGAGCGTTAGCCCCCGTGGCCGCCATGTTGCCCGCATCGCATGACTGCTGCTCACAAGTGCACGTGCACTCGAGACCACCACGGTCGCCGTGAGGCCCGTGTCGTGGATTTTATGCAGCCAACTGAGCATCTGGCGCCTTGCAGCCTCGCTCGCAGAGTAGTCATCCTTTCCGAGCGCCTAGCGCTGTGTCGCCTCGCTTACGACACAGTTGGCTCAGCAGAGCGACTTATAACTGATCAAGAAGCGTCCGCCTCGAGTTCCGTTGATGATTCAACGTTGAACTCATTATATTCATAATTTTCAGAGAAATCGGACAAGCGTCAGCCCTGTTTTCCACCAAACAACGGCTTGGCGACGTCATCGCTCGGTTCACGGCCACTGCAAAGGCCACCGAGACAAGCCACTGGACCCCAGGCCTAGTCACGGCTCGGCTTGAGCTCTTGGACGCCTACTGGAATGACTTCCAGGCCGACCATGTGAGTTTGTTGGCCGCAGAAACCACCGAACACGGCGACGCCGCGGACAAAATTGATGCCGCCGCAGAGGCCAACTTCGTCGATGCCCGGTCACACCTGTATGACGCTCGGCTCGCACTAGCCCCGCCCGGGGCCCACGGGGAAATCCGCCCAGCCAGAGAACCGGCACCACATCGTGGGCCCAAGTTGCCTACTATCACCATCCCGCCCTTCTCGGGACGACGAGAGGACTGGGAATCCTTCAGGGACCTGTTCCGAGCCCTCATACACGACGACAAGCAGCTAACGGACGTTGAGAGACTCTATTATTTAAAGTTACTCACTCAAGGCGATGCCAAGGCCGTCTTGGACTCCGTGCAGATCGTTGGGTCCAACTACCTGACAGCCTGGAGCCTACTCGAGGCCCGCTATGAGCATCGGAGGCTCCTCGTGCAGGACCACGTTGCGGCGCTCCGCAATATCAAGCCTCTGCGGGACGAGTCAGCCAGAGGTCTACAAGCGCTGTTGGACATGCTTGAACGTCATCACAATCAGCTTAGTGCTCTCGGCCGCCCTGTCGCCTCCTGGAATGATTAGTTCATCGCGTTTGCAGCAACGGGCATGGACGCCACCACAAGACGTGCTTGGGAAGACGAGCTGGAGAAGCTGGAGGTTTCCAGCGACGTGCCTGGTGATTCCTGGGCCACCTTTACCATGCTGGCTGCGTTTCTGCGGCGCAGATGCCGCACTCTCAGCTCCGTAGAGGCTTCTCATCTAGCGCGCTCAGCTGGCTCCACCGGCTCACGAGGGCCCTCCTCGACGCACGCAGGGCGCAATTTCCGCTCCCTCACGACCCAGGAGGCCCCAGCAAACTGCCCGGCTTGTCACGAACCCCACTATCCCGGGCATTGCGGTCAGTTTCGGGATCTGAATCCAGCCGACAAGATGCACATCGTATTCCAGGAGAAGTTATGCTTCAACTGCCTGAAGCCAGGGCACTCCCTGCATGACTGCCCCTCCAAGTCGGTCTGCCAGCGCTGCCGGGCGGCGCACCACAGTCTGCTGCACGACAGCCGCAAGCGCCGGTCCGAAGCTCCAGGATCTTCGGACCCACCCAAGCATGCGAAGCCGACCAGCTCCGATCTCCTCAAGACTCCTGATGAGTCCCGGCAAGGACTCGCGGTACTTCCGACCACGCTCGTCCAACTCAGCGGCGGCCGGGGGCCCATCGTCACCGTGAGAGCACTCCTTGACCCGTGCTCTAAGATCTCGGCCATCTCTTTCAAGCTCGCTCGCCGCCTAAAGGCCCCTTTGGAGGATTCTAGAACCAGCGTATCGGGCATCGGCGGCAAACACGCCGTAAGGTCGACACTCCGCGCCAGTCTGCGCCTGATGACAGGGGATGGCACCTCCAGTTTGCATCGGAAGGCGCTGTGCATACCCCACCTCGGTCTTTCAACTCCTGCGGCCCCGCTCGACCCCAGCATCCTGCGAGTCTGGGCCAGCCTGCAGGACCTCGCCGACCCCGACCTTGGCCTTCCTCGTGCGGTCGATATTCTCATCGGCGCCGAGGTCTACAGCCGTCTGCTGCGCCCTGGGTACCGTCAGCGTGGAGAGATCGTCGGTCAGCATACAGCACTCGGCTGGACTCTAGTCGGGTGTGCTCCACAGCGCAGTCGCGTGTCCGACATTGCACGATAAGCTGGCTCCACCCTGGCATCGCGAGCTCTTCATGCTACTCCAGCGCTTTTGGGAACTAGAAGAGGTGCCCTCCGTCTGCCGCCACGCGTCAGATGACATCGACTGCGAGCGGATTTTTGCCAACTACCGGCGCGACGCGGACGGCCGTTATATCGTGCGTTTGCCGATGAAGCCCAATGCTGCACCGCTCCTCGGCGATAGCCTGGCTAGCGCCCTGGCCTCACTGCGATCTCTACACGGTCGCCTCCAGCGGGACTCAAAGATGGCGACCGAGTATAACCGCTTCATGAGCGAGTACCTCGCCCTCGGTCATATGAAGCGGCTCTCCAGCCGAGAGCTCTCTGCACCAAGCAGCACGGTTTGTTACGTCCCGCACCACGGCATCTGGCAACACGGGAACCTTGGACCAAAGTTGCGCGTCGTGTTTAACGCCTCGCACCCAACCTCGAGCGGCTACAGCCTAAACGACATCCTGCACTCCGGGCCGAGACTCCAGGCTGCACTACCGACAGTCCTGCTGCGATGGTGAAGACATCGCGTCGCCTTCTGCAGCGATGTCCAGATGATGTTCCGCCAAATCTGGGTCGACCCGCGAGACGCACACCTTCAGCGCATCGTCTGGAACCCCCGATCCGAGTCAGCCGCCTGTACACTTCAACTGCGCACCGTCACTTATGGCGCGACTTGTTCGCCCATAGCCGTTCTCAAGCCGTCAGCCACGCCCCAAGCTCGCATGACGATCCCTCGTCTTGAGCTGCGTGCCGCGCTGCTTGCTGCGAAACTACTGCGCTTGGTCGTCAGCGAGTGTAATATCTTTATTGAGCACTGCTACGCTTGGTGCGACTCCCAAGTCGTTCTACGCTGGCTCCGCTCCGCCGAGCCAACCAACCACGCTCTCGTCGACAACTACGTCACCCACATCCAGGAGGTACTGCCACCGCACATCTGGCGCTATGTGCCTACTCATGACAATCCTGCCGATGTGGCGTCTCGAGGCACCGATGCCCAGACTCTACACCGCCAGCAGAGATAGTGCGTTCTCAAGCGGCACCCACTGACATCGCTCGCAGCCTTCGTCCATACAGACGGCGTTCTGCGTGTGGGCGGTCGCCTCCAGCACGCCGAGATGACCTTCGCGGAGCGACACCCACCCATCCTTGACGGCGCTTGCCCTCTCGCCACGCTTACGATCACGTGGGCCCATCACCAAGCGCTCCACGGGGGCTCTCGCACCACCAGCGCGTACACCTTCAAGCGTGCTTGGATCATTGGTGGCTCCCGGAAAGTCAAGGCTTTCCTACGCAGTTGCGTTACTTGTGCTCGCCTCCAAGCCCGATCAGCTGTCCAATTGATGGCTCCTCTCCCGCGGTCACGAGTTACTCCCTTTCGCGCCTTCGGTCGCACTGGGATCTATTACGCTGGGCCGTTCCACGTCCTCGCAGCTAAGGGCCGAGGCGTTCGCACCACGAAGGGTTACATCGCCATATTTGTCTGTCTCACCACGAAGGCACTACATCTGGAGCTCGTAGGCAATCTATCAACCGTCTCCTTTCTTACGGCTCTCACCCGTTTTTCTGGTTGCCGGGGAAGACCGTCTGAACTCTGGAGCGACAACGCGACGTGTTTCCATGGAGCTGACACCAAGTTGCGCGATGCGCTACGTCTTGCTGAGCACCAGTGGGACCTCGTCGCGGGTGCCCTAGCGGATCAAGATATCGAGTGGCATTTTATTCCATCCGGGGCCCCTCACTTTGGAGGTCTCTGGGAGGCCGCGGTCAAGTCCGTCAAAGGTCATCTCCGACGAGTCATGAGCTCGCGGCACCTGACGTACGAGGAGTTCTCAACCGTCTTGATCGGGATCGAAGCTGTCCTCAACAACCGACCCCTCACTCCACTGTCGGGCGACACGGACGACCTGGGCGTGCTGACCCCCGGTCACTTTCTCATCGGAGCACCCCTCAATTCAATCATCGAGGCCACGCCACCCGATCAGGATCTCGACCATCTGGCTCACTGGGAGCTTGTCCGGGGCATCAGAGCATAATTCTGGGCCCGATGGAGTCGGAAGTATCTTAATACTCTTCAACAGCGATCGAAGTGGATCACCCTTCATCGGAACCTGACCTTGGGTGATATCACCGCCGTCCTTGACTCATCACTGCTCTCGACCAACGGCCGCTGGCCTCTTGGCTGCGTAACTGGCGTTCACCCTGGCCCGGACGGCCTCGTACGTGCTGTGACCGTCCGAACGGTGACGGGAGAATACACCAGGCCAATCACGAAAGTCACGCTGCTTCCCGTGATAACCCGGACCGCCTCTCAGCCTGCATCACCCGGAGGCGAAACCGCTCTGGATACGGCAGGCAGGACTTGAAGTTTCGTTCCTGGAACGAGGCGGGCGGGATGTTTCGTTCAACGATATACTGTCGGTCGGGCCCCCCTCCTGATCGTCTTGGCGCTTCGTTACGCCGCTGCCGCTGGCATCGATGGCCTGTGCCCGGACCAGTTTAGTTCATTTCCTGATACACAGGTTCACGCATCAGCTGGCCAGCTACACGCCTCTGCCAGCCAAGTCACACCGTCAGCAGCCAGCAGGCCGCTCGAGACGGCTAGTCCATCAACAATCTCAGCGGAGCATAGTACGCAGAAAGCACGCTATTCATTGTCGCCGGGTCCGCTTCCCTTGTACTTAACAAAGAAAGAGTTTCTCAAACAATTATTGAATCATTCTTTTGATAATTCTTTTCTAACGGTTTTCAATTAATTTATTTGTTTTAAGAATAGCGTATTGAACTTTACGATTGTTCAAACACTTTAATAAGTTTTCATGCGAACGAACATCTTATGCCATTTATGTAATTCGAGCCACGCGCTCCTGTGTATAAATCTTGATTGAATACATGATATTTTCGATTTACACGTTATTTCGCATATAAATTGCGTTGAAAAACTATTTATATGTACTATGACACCTTTCACGAAGTTGTAACGTTAGCCACCATAAGATAATTTATAGGTTTGCGGGTAAGGGATCCTATATTACCTTTCCTTTAGATGTTTGATATACTCGTAATATATTGAGTATTGACAAACATCTAAATTTTCTATAGTTCCTATCTTTTCATCTCTACATGGGGCATTAGAAGGGCTGGAGATAATTCTTAGTTTTATTTCATGCATTAAATAGAATGTTATGGTCTAGGTAAGTACCGTGAACCCACGACTTCTTTATAGTCAACAACGTGATTTTCTCCTCGGTAATTAGCCGTAAATAATAACGAGAACGTCACATACTAAATTTTCTGGCGCTCGACAGCTGGGCACGAGTCATATACTAGACGATAACATTCTGAAAAACGAAATTGACTTAAAAGTTAACACAAATGGATGCGAGAATACGAATACCACGAGAGTTAACTTTTGATTTAATATTTGATACACTCGATACGCATAAGGAGTGCATTCAAACGTTAACTGCACAAAATAATGAATGTAAAAGTAAAATTGAAAAAAATACTATGAGAAAATTGACGAACTAAAACTTGAATTACAGCAAATGAAAAATAATATTTCTGACATAGATTTCAAATTAAATGATTCTAACCACCGTGAATCTTCTACATTTTCTCGAATTTTCGGAATTCTTAGAAATCATTCAAAGAGTATAAGTATCCTTTTTCACAAGAATCGAGAAAGTTTGGAACGTGTAGCATTATTATTGATCAAACAGACCCGTTGACTTCTAAATAGTTTGCTTTATATACTGACGGCACATAAACGTAAACATGATTCGTCGTAGACGCACGGGCGCCTTCTTGCAAACGATAAACGAAAATACAGAAGAAGGAGACGAGGAAAATAAAACAAAACTCGACTGGTGGAAAGCAGATGATGTAACACAACTGTTCACGGAAAATTAGAATTTGACCGAACGTATACAAACAATTGAACGCCTACAAAACAATAATGAAACGGTTACTATACGCGATGAATATCAAGCCAAGTTTGAACATTTAGAACACGTTATAAATCAATTGACACAAGCACTAGTCAAAAATAATGATAAGGTATTAAAAATAATGAAGGATCAAAAAAGTTTAGTTCAACGCATTAACACGATTGATGATCGCAATAAAGAGATGATAAATTCAATTGATGAATTAATCGAGCGGGTCAAAGATCATGACGGGAATATGATCGTGGCTGATGATTTGATAATGATACGGGACAATATAAATAAGCATTTCCATGAGGTCGAAAATGAATTTGATTGTCTCAAGCGAAATACCGAAAGTAACATTCATTTGTTAAATCAAAAGATTCAAAGCTCATCGCTAAGTGGTGCTACATCACCAAAAATTGTTGTACAACAACCTAAGTTTCGAGGGTTGGACAAAGAACGACCAATCAAGTTCCTTTCCAAGCTAGAGAATTATTTGAAATACGTTAATCCGAGCGAAGTTGAGTTGCATTGTATTATTGGGGGTTGTTTTGAGAAAAATGCCAAGGATTGGTGGTATTTACGGGAAGCGGAGGTTACTAATTATGACCAAATTGTGGATAAGTTTAAAGATCGTTCTTGGGATTTCAATATTCAAAGATCATTGAAAAGAAAAATTGAATTTGGTCGATATCATGTAAATTTAAAAATAACTCGAGTAGAATATGCAACGCAAATTCTAGGATATGTGCGAGATTTAGGCATATCTTCTAGCGAAAAATCCTTTTTGCTATCTATTGCATGCCATTTTGATCGATTTATACGCCAAGCAGTAATGAGCGATAACAACATCAGCGTTGATACCTTATTGAATATGCTAGCAGAGTTAGACAACGATGATAAACGCGCTAACGCAAATCCTCAGCGATCAAACAACAATCGGGATGCCAATGAAAAGACAAATCAACAAGTAAACAAAACTCCCACTTATAATGACAATACGCAAAAAAATGAAAATCGGCAAAAAATGCACGACTATTCTCAACCGTGGCGAACAGAGCAAATTTCATTAACGACGAAACAAGATGTACATTCCAAGGGCAAAAAAAATCAAACCGAAGCGGTAGAACACATGGATAGGAGGTTTTCTTTTCAGCCTAACGCTACTAGCTCATTTGACCTTGCGAAAAATCATGATTTGACAGGAACCTTAAAAAATTTAATGAACACTGAACAATCAAAAAACGACCTAAGTCCATGCTAGATCCATGGGGTTGTGCTTTATTAAAATTGAGCATGAATAGGTATCAAAACTCCCACAATCAAATCGTGGATATAGCATGGGAATGGGCATTGCATTCATATAAACGAAAAAAAATTATTAGAAATTTAAATACAAAATATAACAACATTAAGAAAATTGTAAAGAATTTCAAGTTTAAAACAGGTAAAGGCAATTGTAATTTTAAGTTATATCAATTAGAAGTAAAAGCGGATAATTTTGAATTTTTCAATTTTAAAACTTATACATCGTTGATTCCGCGAAAAAACTTTCAATGGTTGAATATATACAAAAGTTCGAATATTATAGATGAACATCCAAAGGACTTTTTATTACATGACATCGATCCCAATGACGATGTTGAATATAAAACTCGTTGTCCCAAAATTAATATAGAATTATTTGGAAGAGAAGTGATAGCACTTATCGATTCGGGTAGTGAAATAACATGTATATCCGACACATTTTATAACGAGAATTATGATTTGTTGAAAAATGTTCCCACATTGCCATTGACAGGAAAATCGGTGAAAGTTGCCACGGGCCAAAAGACTACACGCGTGAATAAACAAGTATGGATAAATACTAAATTTTCAAATGTAAATAAACAACTGCTTTATCGTGCTATCTTCAAGGACGTATTCCATTTCTCAGTAAACTCCTTAGTGTATCAAGAATTGGTGAAGTATTTCTCAGTACGAATATTTGAATCATGTCGAGCACACGCAGTATTACCACACAGTATCCGTGTAAACGAGACGCGTGTGTATGGGTTAACGAGAAAATGATAGAGTGTAATGTAAATGGTTATTTTTTTGAATCATTGAAGCATCAATTGGAACCACCGACAATCCGAGAAATCGAGCCACGAAAATTTCAAGCCGATTTGAGCACGAACGTGAAAGAGATTGTGCTTGGCGATTTCAAGGGATATTTTCGAAACACCAACAAACGGAACAAGGCAACTCAGACTCCTAAAAAGGGATCCGCCATTATAAAGCCAGCGAAAAACACTTTATTGAAAAAAAAATACGAAAACAAGAATCTCAAAGTGATTTAACGGTTTTTACCATCGAAAAAAAAATTACATTACCAGATGCAAAAATACGTTACGCAAATTTACCACCTGGTATGCGCTTAAAAAAACGAAGTGCTGTGCCTTCTATACTAATCCTATACAAATTGTAATCAGAAAAGATAATTCTGTGCGTTTGTGTTTAGACGCGAGAAAACTTAATGAGCAATTAATAGATGATTTCGAATCACCTCCAGGGATAGAAGAATTATTTCCCAGATGTCAAAATGCCAATTTCATTTCTAAATTGGATTTGACGAGTTCATATTGGCTATAGCGGATACCTTTGGCGGAAGATTCGAAAAAATATACTGCATTCAAGTTGGATCACCACGTATACGAATTTAACGTAGTTTCTTTCGGTATAAAAATGTCTGGTGCAGCACTGTTACGCGGATTATGTGAAATATTATTTGACTTACAGAACTTTACGTTGCAATTCGTAGATGATATCGCAATTTTTTCACCAAATTTTCATACGCACATCGAGCAATTAGAATTATTATTTCAACGTTTTCAAAAGCATAATTTGCGCATAAATTTTTCAAAATCTGATTTTGCCCAACGTAATATTGAATTCTTGGGACACATATTATCAGCTGAGGGTTTAAAACCTCATCCCGAAAAAATTGCATCAATAAAAAATTTTCCAACACCAAAAAACGTACACATGTTACAATCTTTTTTAGGATTTGTAAATTTTTATCCTAAGTTTGTAAAAAATTATTCAAGTTATACCATTCCATT